CCCATACCGGACCGGGACCGGCAACGGGATCGCAACCCTTGGTGTTGCTCCCGCACCTCGCTCAGCCAGTGAGCGCACCAGCCATCCCTATATAGGATCCGAACCCGCGGTGGGAGCGTCGCTGCGCTCCCAGCTCCGCACTCTCCCGAGTGTGCCACGGGCTCGGCCCACAACAACTCACTTTAATGTCCACAACACTGGGAGGTGGATAACACGTAGTCACACCACTATTCCAGGTGACCAAGAGGTTGAGAGGTGATGGTATGGTCATTGCTCAGGGTCAGGCTCAGACCAGGATGGCCATGTGAAAATGACCCCAACACGTCCTAACTGCCCCCGGCACTCTGAGGCTGAGCCGGGTCCTGCCACCCTCCCGTTGGCTCTGCCCTCCCACCTCTGCCCTCCTCTGGTGCCCGGGCCTGGCACCTGGGGGGTGGGGCCCTCAGTGCACAGCCTGAGACCAGGGGCCTAGGCCCAGCCTTCCTCCCAGGCCGTGGTCCCTCCTCAGTGACCGTGGCCCATGCACCCCCTGGTGGCCTCCCCCCAGAGCCCCACCAAACCGGGGGCCCTTTGACCCCACCAGAGTTGCCACACCGGTCCACTCCCACAGCCCCCCAGGACCAGGTGCCCAGGGAGGAGGCCTCACCTCGGAAGTTCTGGCTGAACCTCTTCCCACGGGAGCGGTCCCCGTGGCTGCGCTGCAGCAGGGCCACGTACTGGGCCCTCACGTGGGCGGGGATGGCCAGTTCCCCCACGTCGGACTTATCCAGGACGGGCGCCTGGCTGAGGTGCAGCTGCTGCAGCAGACTGCCCAGGACCTGCCCCTCGGTCAGGGCCGTCCCGGGGCCGGCCAGGGACAGCGCCCAGAGTGCCCAGCAGAGCCACAGGGGCCACATGGAGCTGCTCGGGAGGAAGGTGAAGCACAGCAACATGTCCCCGAGGTGGGGCTCCAGGAGGGTCTCAGGCCCAGCTGGGTGTGCTGAGAGCCAGGGTCGGGCCAGCTTTATAGCCGGCCCTGGGCTGGTCTGGGGTGGTGGGGGGGAGGGAGGGAGGGAGGTCACACCCCTTGGACCTCCTGGGAGCTCAGCAGCAGACAGGCCCATGAGCCCTGAGGAGGGGCCGTCTTGGAAGGACACAAAGGGCTGTCTGGATGCCACACAGCCTGGGCCTCTGGCTGTGCTGTCTGTCCAGCTCGACAGTGTCTTAGTGCCTGCTGAATTTCCCTGGCCCTACCCCAGTCCCATTCTATGAAAAAGCAAGGCTATTCTGTGAAAAGGGAATCCCTTTCACAGAAGCTCCTGGGGCCATCTCCCCGCATCCTTCAGTCCTTGCCCTCCCCCATGACAGAGGAAACTAGATTCTGTCAGGACAGAAATCTGGCAGTCCCAGGAAAAGCAGTTTCTGCAAGTGGCTTTGCAGTCACTGAGCACAGAGTGAGAGTCCCCGCTTCAGACAGCAGACTCCTGGGGACTGTGCTACCCACTGAGCCGGCCAGCTGGCTCACACCACCAGTGCTCACATTGAGCCCATGCCATGCACAGACACAGGAATCTGGAAAGCAGAAGCCAAAGCTGCCCAGAGGCAAGTTCTGTCCAAAGCCACAGGTACTGCAGGCACACTGGGGTGGGAGCTCCCCAGTGCCTCCTCAAACACATTTTAGACTGGCTGTGTTCAAATATGGGACCTGCTGCTTGTGAGCTGTTTGACCTGCTGACACGTTAACTTCTCAGTGCCTCAGTTTCCTCATCTGAAGGAGGGGTGATAATAATAGGGCCTAAATCACAGGGTTAGTATGAAGATTAAACAAGGTGGCTGGCTGGAGAGCTCCCTTGGTGTGGTGCTAACACCAAGGTCAAGTATTTGGATCCCCATACCAGCCAGCCACCAAGACAAACAAAAGATTAAATAGGGTAATACATTGAAGGTGTTTAGCTCAGTGCCTGGTGCTGGTAACGCTATGAGGGTTTGCTATCACGATTATCTGCCTGAAATCTGCATTTTCAGGGTGGTAGCTTTCCTAAAAGTATCAATAACAAGACTAGCGAACGTTTCTTGAGTACTCTCTCTGTGCCAGTCATTGTTCTGGGCTCTCAACATGCATTCGCACAGCCCTTAGGAGGCAGGTGGCAGCTTCAGGCCATCTTCCAGGTGCCAAGTCAGAGCCCTGTGTGGTGAAGTAACCTGCTGTGCTCTCCCAGTTAGCGGGGGGTGGGGAGGGCAGCGCAGGAGGATGCCCTTCCTAAAACCCCACAGCCTCGGTGCCTGCGTCTGTCATGTGGGAGGTGAGCCACGACGGCAGAAGAGGACAAGCACTGGGGGCTGAGGGCCAGGAGGAACACCCCTCTCCCCCTTCTCAGTGTGGAGGGCACCCTGGTCCCATTGTGGGTATGCTGTGTCACTGACAGGTCTCTCGTGTCATCCTTTGCTTCTGTCTTCCTCAGTCACAGGCAGAGGAAGAGAGAGCCTTCTGGTGCTCGAGGGCAGAATCTCCCCCAGATGAGAGCCCCGGGACATTATGTGCAAAAATCCCACTATATACATATGCACATGCATGTACATGTACACGTTCATCTACGTGTACATATACATCCACACACAAGTGTGTACATATACATATGCACACGCATATACATGTATGCACACATACATGTACATATACATGTGCACGTACATATAATGTATAGTTACACACATGTACATATAAACATGTGTGCACACATGCATATGCATGTACATATAAGCATGCACGTGCATATACACATGCATATATAGTTACATATACACATGCGTGTATGTGTAATATATATGTACACATACTCATGCATATATACATATAATATGCATGTGCATCTACATGCATACACACGCATACATGTACATATACACATTCATGTACACGTAATATGAATGTACATATATGCCTGCATATATACACACAATATACATGTGCATATACATGAATATACACATGCACATACACGTGTGTCTACATGTACACATATACATTCATGCACACGTAATATGCATATACATGCACACATGCATGTACACGTGTGTATGCACATGCATATGCGTATACATAGAGGGTTTTTAGTAGTGTGAGGGGCTCAGCGCTGGAGGAGGGAGGAATCTGTTATTCTGATAGTGATCATAATGGCTAATAGTGCTTGCAGGCCACGTCCTGTTCTGAGTGCTTCATACGTATTATTAACTTTTTATCCTCACAACAACTTGAGGAGGAAGTTGCCGTTATTATTCCATTTTATAGAAGAAGAAATCGAGGCATAAATCTGTTACATGACTTGCCCACAGCCACACAGCTAGTAAGGGCCAGAGCTGGGGTTGTCTGAAGGGAAGGAGACAGGGACTGACCACCTGTGTACACAGGACGAGGTAAGAGGAGATACAGAAATCCTGACACGGGACCCCGGGGGAGGAGGATTTCGGGGGTCCTGGAATCATGACCTCCCCTTTCCTCTTCCCACCCACCTCTATTTCCACGGAATTTGTGTAATTCACAAGGAGGAATTCAAATCCCATCTGGGAGCTCCTATCTCCCAGAGTTTGAGCGTCCCCTGAAATATAGGCGCCACCCCTGCGTCCGGCCCAAACAGGCCTTCCTGCTCTCCCTGCGACAAGCGTGGCCTCCTTCAAAAGAGTAGCTGTTGCCTTTCTCTGCAAGTGATTAGCAGGGAAAGGACTTAGTTGGTGCAAACATTTGGGTCTTAAGTCGGGCCAAAAGGCGCAGAAGTGTCACATTTACAGGCAACCCAGGACCCGTGGCCCCTAGTCCCTGGAAGCCGTTCTGGGCTGGTGTTCCATAAATATGCAACAGTCCGCTACCCTTGCTGCTGGGCGAGAGGAAGCCCTGTGGCTTATCACTGGCCAGGGTGGTGCCAGGGATATAACACCCAGGCTGCCCTTGCATGCCATGACCCCCTCCCTAGCTCCCAGCTTCTAGGCCCATGGGGAACTCCCTGGGGCTGGAAGCTCACCATGAGACCTCGTGGGCCACAGAGGGGGCTGCTGTCCCTGGGCTGAGGAGGCCAGGCCCCTGGTGCCACTGCTCCCCAACCTGCAGATGCCACATGAGGCTGTCCCTCACCTAACAGATGTCACAGGGCTGAGCACCTCTGGAAGTCCCTGGTAGTCAGGGATCCCTTCTACACCTGGGGTAATTGACCAGTAAATTGAAACCTCATTTTCCAGAGAAGATGGTAAAGTGGACGGACCTGCTCCTGCTCAATTCCCTGCCTCCCCCCTGACGTCTTGCTGATGCTTCTGGATCGGCCTCTCAGCACAGAGCCAGGTCTAGAACTGAGTCCTCAATGGGGGCCTGGAACTCTCCAGTGAGTGCATATCCAGCCTCTCTTAAAGACCAAACCTGCCTGCAGAAATGGGCTTCTGGGGCTTGCTGCTCAGGTGGTCCACAGGGGGAAACTGAGACCCCTTTCTGATCTCGGAGGACCTCCCTAAGGTGGGGCAGCCTGGGAACATTTTGCACCAATGGCAGGTTTGTCTAGCCAGGGGCCTGGCCCTCCGCCTTTCCCCTGCTAGTTTGTAGAATCAGTGAGCTTAGAACTGAAATCGACTATCCAGGGCATTTTCCTGCCCCCAGGTTTTAGAGCTATGAACCTGAGGCTTGGAGAGGTGACGACTTCCCCAAGTTCACACGGTTAATGATCAGTACCCGTATCAAGTCAGGTCTTCCAATGCCCAGGCCAAAGTTCTTTCCACACCCTCAAACTATTTCCAGTGCCCAGTCCTGCCCTGACTCCCCAAAGCCAGCGGGACTCATCTGGGGACTCAGTCAAGCCGGAGTCGGGTCTGGGCAGGGGCAGAGAGGTGTGAGAAGCAGACAGACAGAGGGCAAATCCCCCAGACTCCTGAGGCTTCCCCAAGACAGAGAGGCCGGGGTCCTGAATGTGGATTCCCAGCAGCCTGAAAAGTTTTGCTGGGGAAATAAAATAATTGGGCAATTAGCTAGCAGCCAAAGGAAGGCCACGAATGTGGATTGGGAGACTTTTTACAACGGACTGATTAGTCACCAGGAGGGAGGGCAGGCACCCTTTGTCATGCAGAGAAAGGAGCCTGGCTGTGGGGTCAGGTCAGGCTTGAAAAGCAGAAAAATTTGTAAAATAGCCTCTTCTGTCGGGGTGGGAGGAAAGGTGTTTGGAGAAGGGGAAGACTACTTATAAAGCTGTCTAAATCAGACCTCCCTCTCCAAAAGATCCCTAACGTGGAAGTAATCCAGACTGTTTATGAACCTGTATTGTTAGGGGTTTTAAATCGGGGGGAGGACTTTTTGGTTTTGTTTTCAGAGATGCTGTGTTGTGAATGCTCTGGCTATAATTGTGCGAATGCTGTAGGAGAATGCAAACTCTTTGCACTACTGTTTGTTTGGGTGGCTGGCGTGCAGATCCATTAGGACCGAGGCACTTAGGACCAAAGTCTCCTCCAACCCAGATGGCCTTTGGATAACCCAAACTTCTCAGCCTGCTGTGTCCTTTCCGGACCACATTCCATGATTTCGGCAGCAACTCTGTCTGACCTGGTGTTGTCGGGTCTGGCCATTCCACAGGGCTTGGCCATCAGGGACCAATGATGCAAGCTGCTCTGAGACTTGGGGACAGGTTCCCCATGTCTCACCCAGACAGGTTGCCCACAACCCCAGTGTTCTGGTACCTCCTGCCTTCCACCAGGTGTGCATTTGTTCCATGGGGCAGTCTCTGGGGGGCAGTGATTTCTGCCTGGAATCACCCGAGGAGACTGAGTAACTACCTATTGCTGGACCCCTGCCTTCTCAATGGACGTGGACAGGGGCAGGATCCAGGAATCTGAATGTTAAAGACTCCATGCACATAGTAGGCCTGGGAGGTGAGGGGTCCAGGTGAAAAGACCTCCCATTGTACCATTAAAGTTGTACCTAATGTGGCCCGTCCAGGTGATTCCTGAGCTTCCTGATTTCCTGTGATGAGAGGATAGAAAATGACCAGGAA